AAAAAAAAAAAAGGTTTTCTTTTTTAATAGAAAAGGCTAATTTTTCTTAAGTATTCAGAGAGACCTGGTAATGACAAAACATAGAATCTGTGTTTTCTAGGCAGATTACATTAAAGGTAAAGAAAAACCTTTGTTTACAATTAATAAGAAATTGAGTTAATTTTTAATATGGTCTAATGCTAATTTGCAACTCCATCCTTTTGCATGTGGATATCCAGTTTTCCCAACATTATTTGTTGGAAAGACTGCCCTTTCCCTACCGGTCTTGGCCCCTTCATTGAAAATCAATTGACCATAAACGTGAAGGTTATTTCTGTACTCTTTATTCTGTTTCATTGGTCTATATGCTGTCCTCACTCCAGTATGAGACTTTTGATAACTACAGCTTTATAGCAAGTTTTGAAATCAGGAAATGTGAGTCCTTCAACTTTGTCCTTCTTTTTCAAGATTGATTGGGCTAGTCAGGGTTCCTTGAGCTTCCATGTGAATTTTAGAATGGGTTTTTCTATTTCTGCAAAAAATGCCATTGAGATTTTGATAGAGAATGCTTTGAATCTGTGGGTTGCTTTGGTTAATGTAACCTTAACAATAATTAAATCTTCCAATCCATGAACATAGGGTGTCTTTCCATTTATTTATGTGTGCTTTACTTTCTTTTAGCGATGTTTTACAGTTTTCAGTGTTTAAGTCTTTGTCCCCTTGGTTAAATTTATTCCTAAATACAGGGTGTCCCAAAAAATGTATACACACTTTAACAGCTGATAGCTCAATTTTGAAAATGAAATGTATTTTAATAAACACTGCCTTTATAATTATTCACAGTGTGTGTATACATTTTGGGGGGACACCCTATATTTTATTCTTTTTGATGCTGTTGTAAATTAAATGGTTTTCTTAATTTACTTTTCAGACTGTTCAGTGTTAGTGTACAGAAATGTAACCAAATTTGGGGTGTTGATCTTGTATCCTTGCTGAGTTTGTTTATTATTAACTTTTTTGAGTGGAATCTTTAGAGTTTTCTATGTATAAGACAATGTTATCAGCAAACAGGTTATTTTGCTTCTTCTTTTCCAATTTGGATGCCTTCTATTTCTTTTTCTTGCCTAATTACTTTCCAATACTGTGTTTGATAAAAATAGCAAATAATTCTATTCTCAGCTACACACTCCAGAAATTTTTCTGCAGGTACATAAATGCTCATGGAGCCATTGCATATAAGAGCCCCAAACTGGAAGCAACTCAAATGTCCTTAGTAGTGAAACAGTTAAATAAATCATGCAATGGAATAATCTATTCCAGTGAAAGTGAATGAACTAGGGCTACTGCAGCAACATGGGTGAATGTGAAGTATGCACTATGAAGCAGAAATTGAAGCCACCAAAAATACATACCATATGTTTTTATTGATAGAAATTCAAAACAGGCAAAACTAAATAATGTGTGACTTAAGGATAGTACTTACACACTTGAAAAACCATATTTAAAAACAAAAGGACTATTAAACACCAAATTCAAGATAGCTCTTAACCTCTTGGGGGGCGGGGGGAGGTAGTAGTAGAGGGAGAGCAGGTACTTCATGGGCATCGTAGTATTCCATTTGTGAAGCTGGTGGTAAGTCCATAGGTGAGTGTTAAAATGCTATCACTGTATTGTACAAAGCATCTTTGGGTGCATTTGGGGTGACTTTACTAGAACTTTAATAAGTGTGGTTGATCTTTTCAGGATTTAATCTCTAAGGTACCGTGGGCCCCTGAGATCCATAAAACAAATTCTTCTTGGGGGAAATTTTGGCCAACTGTTTTCATAGTGAATAAAGATATAACTTCATGTGAAGATTGAATTTGCTATTTTGTATTTCAAATGCCTCCTCTCACTCAAAAGTGCAGGATGAGCTCCGCAGCTCTCATCAGACTAGTCTGTTATGATCTGACGGCAGCTGCTCAGGTGAAGACACGGCTTACCCTCTTTCCCTTGGGCAGCCTGGCCAGACATTGTTAACCTGAATCCTATAATGTTGGTTTCTAGGAGGAACACCGAACAGCCAACTCCCTGAGCAGTGGTGCTATGATGTGGACAAAGAAATTCAGCCTGGATTATCTAGCCCTGGACTTCAATTCAGCATCACCAGCCCCTGTACAGCAGGTAGGAAGGACTTTGTGTCTGAGAATTCCCAGAAGATTTCATTTCTGTTTAGATTTTTCTGATGATTCAGCCATGTATGTTCTCTTTGAAAAGTCTTAAGCATACAGACACATACAGTGAAGAATATTAAAATCAACCCCGATTCTGCCTCCCAGAAACCCTGCTGTATTTCCTCTAGGGTATGTTCTTTGGATGTATAGGCATACCTCGTTTTATTGTGCTTTCCTTTATTGTGCTCCATAGATGTTGTGTTTTAGGAAAGACCTTCCACCAGCAAAAAGGTTACAACCCACTTTATGGCGATACTTACTTTATTGCCATGTTCTGGAACTGAACCTGCAATACCTTCAAGGTCCGCCTGTATACATACAAATGCATGTGGTATTCATGCCCATTAAAACTTGGACCGTAAAGTTTATAGAAAAATTTCTCTGGCAGAGATGAGGGTGAGGTAAAGGGTACTTCAGGCATCGGGAGGGCCTGCTTAGAGAAGAAGTCATAGTCTGGTGTGGCTAAACTGGGGATTGGTGACAAGAACTCTCGGTTGGAATTGGAACCCCTCAGTAAAGGGCCTCAAAGGCCAGGTTGGGCAGTTTCAACTTCTTTGGGTAGTATTCTCATCTTCTCTTCTGTAATGTGGGGATCAGAAAGAATAACACCTGTGTCTATGCCTGTGGTGAAGATTAAATGAGTACATACGATGTAAGCAACACTGGCCATTAACTAGTGTTGCCCATGTAACTAGTGTAAGCCGTGGAATGAATGAATAGTAAGCAGTGGACAACAGCTAAATATTTTTGATCAAGGGATGGTCATAATCTATACTGTGCCTAACAATGTACAGTTTGATGAGAAAAGCACCATGCCGAACAGAGTATACAGTATGGTTCGTGTGTGTGTGTGTGTGTGTGTGTGTGTAAAAAAACGATCTAGTAGGCTTCCCTTTCCTTTTGATGAGTGAACTTCCATTTCTCCTTTACCTTTAATTTCATTCCAAAAACCTGAACTAATACTCCAGAAAAGCTGGTCAGAAAGATGAGACCAATAAGTAAAAAAGGTGCAATAGCTTTGGTAGGCTACGCAGTCAAGACAAACAAGCCTCAAATCTCAATGCCTTGCAACAGAAAAAGCTTTTTCAGTTGTTGCTAATGGGACAATCCACTACAGGCCAGGGCCTTGGTGTTCCAGGTCATCTTCAATCCAGGGCCCAGGCAGAAGGAGCAACTCCACCTGAGGCATGCTGGTCTCCTGGCAGGGGAAAAAGAGAGATTGCAGAATCACAGGATGCCTCTTTTCTCTATAGGATTGGCACATGTCACTTCCACTCACACTATATTAGTCAAAGCAAGTCAAATGGCTAGAGCAAAGTTGAAGGGAATGGAGGTGAAGAGATATTTATACACATACACACAAAATATAATAACACTTCTGCAGTGAATGACCCAGAAAGAAGGGGCAGCAAATGCTTATTAACACTATAATCTTCCATAGAAGGACTGACATTTTTCTAAATTTTCAGTTGAATGTAATGAAACCCGTTTTGTTCTCTCCCTTCAGAAACTTCTCCTTTCAGATGAGCAAAGAGTAGACTATGTCCAAGTGGATGAGCAGAAGACACAAGCTCTCCAGAACACAAAGCAGGAGTGGACCGATGAGAGGCAATCCAAAGTATAAGCAGTGTGGGCTTGGACTGTGTGTAACACAAGGAAGCTTGGGGCTGGCTTTGAGTTTTTTCACTAGACTCACACCACTGTTCAACACAGGTCAAAATCCAGAGGGAATGCATAATTTCCATGGGCTTGGCAAGAACCTTTGGGAGAAAGGACCTATTCGTATGCATTACATGGGAAGAAGAAGGAAGCAGTGCCCTCCCAGAGGGGGCTCTGAGGGATTCTAGTACCCGCCTCCACCCCCATCTGTCGCGGAAGTTTCCTTCTCTGGCCACACTTGCCCATGCCCAGAGCCTCAGGGATGCTTACAGCTGGTTCCACAGTCACAAGAGGCAGAAATGGAGGATTCCACAGCCACGGACTGGAATGTAGAAAACTCCATTCATTCAAACAGGGTAGGAACAATAAAAACAAGACTTAAGTTCTCTTAAGAGAATATTTTCCCAGAGTTTGGTTAAAAATCCAATGGAGAATTTGGAGTGTGGATTGAAGTCAGTATTGCTAACTGACAGGAAGACATCATTTGACTCCAATACCTGAAATTGACCTCTCTTCTGTGCTTCCATTGAAATTATAAATTTTCCTAGCAGAGAAGCCCCTGGAGGCCATCTTGTCCTAGCCCCTGAAGACAGAGTTGAAGAGATCAAGCCCAGCGATGATGGGAGAATCTGCACTCCTTACTCCATAGACTCCAGCAGACAAATCATTTTTATACCCCAAAGAAAGACAATTCAAGTGACGGGGCAATGATTCCTGGGCTCCATGATGACCATATCAGGTGACACCAGTGGCTTTAAGGGTATCATGGTTTAAGCAGCTACCTGTGGCTGGGTATTCCGTTGCTCTTGGCCTTTTTCCAGTATGTTTTCACATGCATCATTTCCTCTCCCCCTAAAAGACCTCAGAAGCTTGGGTTGGCAGAAATTGTCGCTCCCACTTTGAAGAAAACTGAGAACCAGAGGAGGGCGCACTTTGTCCACGATCACTCGTGGAGCCGAGATAGTCAGGTTTAAAATAGAGTTGGTCAGGCTGCCCATTACAGGCTCATTCCACCATTCCACACGGACTGAGGATTTTGATGAAATCGATCAGTTTGGTAAAATTCGGAGACATGCAGACCTGAAATGAGTCATTATCTCTCCCTTTCATAGGATTTTGAGCAGGTGCTTTTATACTTGAAAGGTATGCATGTCAAGCCAGGGTTTCTTTGAGTGGTGTTCAAATGGGGAACTCTAACAAAATCAGTAATTACCATTAGAAATACCTCCTATCGATCAGTGTGAAATCCATTCTTGGATTGCACGGTTCCCTTGCAGTGTGTTTCCCGTGAGCTGGCTAATGCTGGCAGAGTAATTTTTGCCACCTTGGGAAGGCACAAACTATCCTTGGCTATCTTATGTTGGACCCAAGCTTTTCAGTGCTAAAGCGTTAGGACTAGAAAAAAACACAAACAAAACAATGAGTTACATTCTCAGGTTTCCTGGGTAATTTTCCCCTCTGCTTTATGGGGTACCTGGGGTTCAGGGGACTCATGAAAGTCACACTCAGGCATGAGGTCTTACTTAATGCCCCTTCCTCATCCTTCTGAGCATCTGTGTCCAGAAGACAGATCTGAACAACAGGGAATTAAGCAGTTACTGCTCCAACATTTTGACACCATGTCCTTTATACGAAGATGGATCAAATAGGCAGGCATGTCTATGACAGTCAGGGTTACTTAGGGCAGTTGTAGGCTTTGCTGCATGGTTTTGGGGTTTCAGGATACCCCAAAGGTAGGTAAATGCCAAAGTCTTGTTTTTTCAGATCATAAAAGACATGATCTTCATGTTAAAAGCAGCAAGATCTGGTAGCATTTTCTTCCTGGAGCAAGGTGGTGGGAAATTGCCGAGTTCTTTAACTGTGTCGAGTCCTTTGTGAGCTCAGACAGAGCAACAAGAGGGCTCCTCTCACCTCGTGGCCAGCTCCATGTCACCACACACACAAACTGGAGCCTGTAAAGAGCCACCTTCTTCCCCATGTGACTTGCAAAGAGTCACAGAGCCTCAGGCAAGAATCCAGGGCTGCAGACTGCCAGTTTCCATAGACGGTAGCTTCCTTGTGTGGGGGGCACCTGTGTTTAGACCATCGAGTACCTGGTAAAGGCCAGTGCAGAAAAATTGTATGTCCCAATATCAAGAACCACACTAGATAGAAAATAGAATGGAAAAGAAAACAGCTGAAATCACATCGATAGTGACGTGTCATTCAATTGATAAAAAGAAAATCTGTTTCTGTAAAACATTTTCAGGGACACATTTACTGCAGGAAGCAACACATACTTTAGAGGTATGGATTGTTTGGAAGTGATTAATTAGGGATTTAAAAAAACGGTGACCTCACCCTCATTTCCAAGGTGTATGCAGTTATGTCCTGTGTTGATAGAAACGCTAATGGATAGCTACTCAAAAGCATGATTCAGGGTTACAAAGTACAGGTAGTTTTTCAGCTGACAGCAGCATATGCTCGTGAAGAAGGCACCCTGAGTCAAAACGATGTTGGCCAAATCTTGTTGGAGGATGTAATGCACGTATAACAGGGCTATGATTCTGACCAAGTTCTGAGAGTTTTCAAAACAAATCATCCCAGATTTCATTCCGAGTCAAGTGCACATGGCATGTCTATACACTGTGCAGGGTGCTCTTTCTTAGAAGATTTGGGAATCAACCTCACAGGACAATGCAACAATTAATTCCACATTGTTTTCTGCGGTTCCTTTTTGTTTTGTTTCCTTCTATCTCTTTTTGTTAGGAAATTCCTCCAGATCAGGAGTTGTGAAGGGTCTCAAGCCTACAAGTCCCTAAGACCTTTGGGAGTTAAGTGTTTCTTGAGGAGGGATAAGCCCTGTGGCCCAGCACGCAGCCTGGCTACAAGGGCATGGAGTCAGACTATGGGAGTCAGTATCCAGACCACTACACTGTGGAGCAAGGAGCTACTAAATTGAGGCCTTTAGCTCTGAGTTGAGACTGAAGGCTCCCCTCAGGCCTGGCTTTCTCCTCTCAAGGGCTCCTCAGTCCCCATGCATACCATCTTTGTACCCACAATTATGTTGATTTTAAAAATTCATTGTGTTTTTACTGTTTCATTTCTGGCATTAATAAACGTCTTATAAGGAGGAATCATGACTTAAGTTCCTTCTTATTTGTTTATAGTGATAACATTCAATATAACTACAGAACATGTTTTGAAAGCTGAGTATGTGAAAATAGACTTCACTGCCATTTTCAAGAACAAACTTAACTGACTCACATGGAATGACCTACGTCCATGTTATTTCACTGTAAGCAGTTGAACAGGTGGCTGTACTGAGTACTGCTACTGCTCAGCCAAACCATATCTTGACATCCTTTTTCTTCATCAGAAACAGCCTTCAATAATTAATTGGCAATAAAGTCAAGGGCCTCCCCTGATACCATATGTAACATGACCTTCCTCATTAGTGACATTAAAGAGAAACACCCGGGCTTATTTCGCGTAGCATAATATTCTGGAAGAAAAGGGGACATCTGTAATACTTTCAACTATAAAGATAAATTAAAAAAAAACACAAAACACCCTGCAGCCTTCTTCTCCCCAGCAGGGGTCTCTTTGCCACCTCTGTTTTCTCCGTGGCTAAAGCTCCCAGCTGCCCTGGGTGCACGAAGCAAGGCAGTAACAATGAGAGTAGTGGAGGCTCAGGTTTGGGGGAGACAGGCAAAGGTAGAGAGAGAACAGACCCAGAAAATTCTGGGGCTGAAAGTAAAGGAGGAGAGAAGCCACATGAAATTCCTCACCTTGGTGAAGTATGAGACACACCACCATGAATGCTCACACACACTCCAGACCAAGCCCTTGACCCAAAGGACAGCAGGTTGGCCCACAAGGCTGACCTGAAAATCAGAGGCTGTGAAACCTAACCTAAAAGGTCTTTGAACCCCAGACCCCTTATACCTTGGTTTCTTTACCAGACACCTCCCTAAATTTACAGCTTTCTACTCCTTTATTTTGCTTGATCTTAAATTGCATTCATTATTATTTCCTTATTTTAATTGTGCTATTTCTTTTAGAAATTTAGTTTTTATTTTCTGCAACAGAGAGTGTAGCATTGGTGCAGGCTGGACCAGGGGGCCCGATGGAAGAGAAAGCAAAGCTGAGATGCAGACCCCCACATACACAGGCACTTAATTTATGACAGAGGGAACACAAGAGCCTTGGGGGCATGATGGCCTTTCCAATCAAGTGGGCTGGGTCATTGGGGTGGAAATCCACACAGACAATAATGAACCTCAATCCCACTCTGCTGCCATTCACAAACATCAATTCCAAGTGGACCAAAATGGGGAAGGAAGAACAATCACTTGGACATGCTCCCTCTGCTTAATCAGACCCATTTTGTTTTTATCCACCACTGTTGTTTTGATCTATGTTTCATGGTTAAAAACCTGTGTTTTAATGAGTTTTATTTATTTTTGTTTTTTAAAATTTATCTTTATTGTTGAAAGTATTAAGATTTCTCCCTTCTCCCCCCCCCCATT